TGTTAACCAAATTTATTTGGCGCCCAAATGTAACAAATACATTATCCATAATCATAGCTCTATATTTCCTTCAATAATTGGATTTTTTAACAAAAATTCACTTTTGGCGCCCAAGGCGACCTTAATAATAAAAACAGCTATTCTACTCGTAATAATTAGGCATTCAAATCCGAAGTCGGTACGTAAAGAATAGGTTATTTGCGCCCATGGTTGTCCTTGCACTAATAACTCTTATCAATGTGCCTGTGTTTTAACAAATGGCGTCCAATTGTCTGTTTTTCAACAAAGTATATATTTTTGGCGCCCAACGTTAGTGGAATTTAGTGTTGACAAATCTTGCCCAAGACGATCTTTTCCGTCTTTTCGAGTAAATTGAAATATTTTCCTATTTTAATGAAAGTGGCGCCCAACATGTAGCTATGTTTTTCATGTTTGTGATTTATTTCAATGCTGTTTAAAAAGTAGCCACTCCTGCATTCCAAAATGTTGTAAACATACAACTTTCAAACAAAAAAATGATCATCAAATATACATTTGTTTGTTATAGTTTAATATTAATATAAGTATGTGGTTTATACATTTAAAATCATACACATACACCTTCAATTTTTAGGATATCAACAAAATTCCCTTTAATTTCCATTTTTTATTATTTTGAATTCATACAGTACATATATGCCATGATCTGATTGAAGAAATATATAATTGAAGAAAAATGTGAAATTGCATTTGTGTGTGTGTGTGTTTGGCATATATGTATGTATCTGTGCTTTGTAGCCTTTGTTTTTTACATCACGTGTTAAGACATATTTTTTTGCGATTTACGTTTTTTGTGGTTTAGCGTTTTTCGTTCTTGTCTGCAAGAAGAGTTTTTCTTTGTTAAGAATTGTACGAGTATGTTAATAAATAAATAAATTTTAAATAATAAAAAACACATTTCACATGCATTAATGCAAAAATTTTAGAATTTATGTTAATCATTTTAAGTTCAGTAAAGCTGATTTTGATGCTCAGTTTTTTTTTTTATTTTTGGGTTTTGCTTTGAAACATTCTTGATTTTGTTTTTCATTTTTTTTTCGAGAGACATTTCATTTAAGCAAACTTGGTATGTTTTCTTCTTCTTTTATTCTTTTCGCCTGGACATTCCTCTACTAGCTATTGAATGGCTGGTTTCATATTTGTTTATTTTTTTTTATTAAAAAAGCTGTTTTTTAGTTTTCAATTTTAGAGAGAAGCTATTTTTGTTTTCTGTTAAATGTTAGAGGCTTACAAAGTTATGCTTATATTGTTTCTTTGTTTGTATGTAATGTACGTAAATTAGATAGTTTGGTTGTGTTTTTTGGGCTTATTTCTTGTTTTTGGATTTTTATTTGTTTTGTTGTTTTTTTAGAAAAAGCTAGTCTTTGTTTGTTGTCCTTGCCATTTGACGTTAGAAGTTGTTTGGTTTTTATTTTTTTGGTATTTGGTTTTAATAAATGCTTCATTTTGTTATGTTTAATTTCTTTCTTTGCTAGGGTTTGGTTTTTTGGTTGGTTGGTATTCGTATTTCGAAATCGCCTTATGTTTATATACAAGAATTGAATTTTTCTAACTCATCCTGGTTCGTAATTGTGGTTAGAACTTTCTTGTCTTTTATTTCATTCTTTTTTAGATTTAATTTTCATTTCATTTTTTTTTCTTCTTATTTTAAGCTTTGTTTATTGTGTAGCTTACCTCACTAATGGTTCCCAATTGCTTATGTCACACCATCTTTTTTTTTTTTTGGTATAGGTTGTTAGTTTTGTAAAAAAAGGTTATTATTCATCGTATAGTTGTATTTAGTTCCATGATTTTAACATAACATTTAAAATTAATATTTAAGAGAAAGAGAACAGAAAATGTTTTGAAAATAATAATCCACTTTTTTTGTTGAACGGCACCTACCTTCTCAAGGGGTCCACACTGTGCAAAATAAAGCAAATAATAAGAAAAGAAGTATAAAAATTAAATAAATTAATTGTTCTTTGTCAAAAATTTCAAAATTTGATTGTCACCACAGTGGAACAACGCTTAGGAAGATTGAGCGAGCATTGATGTAGCTGGCTTCATTTACAGATGATTTTTGACATTTACAATTACAATGTCATGTGACGACATATCACAGCGGATGATTTGTTTAGCTCATTGTAAATTGTTATATATTTAAAGTTTAATGAAAGTGGCGCCCAACGCGAACATTTTATGTGTCTGGCCTTGTTTTGAAATTTACAATTACAATGGTATGTGAAGACATATTACATTGAATGATTTGTTTAGATTATTTGTAAAATGATTTATTTGAAACGTGAAATATTGATGTAAATGGCCTTGTTTACACATGGGTCTTGAAATTTACAATTAGCGACATATCAACATTAATAATTAGTGTAGTTCATTGTAAATTGATTTATTTGGAATTTAAGTGGCGCCCAACGTGAGTAGATATTTATTTCAACGCAGAGGAATTTAGTGTTGATACATCTGGCTCAACAAGTAGTTAGATCTATTTTTTATTTATTTGAAATTTAATGAAAGTGGCGCCCAGAGAGACTTATTTCAACGATGAGGAATTTAGTGTTGACAAATCTTGCCCAAGACGATCTTTTCCGTCTTTTCGAGTAATTGTAAATTGAAATATTTTCCTATTTTAACCCCTTGAGCCCTGAATTTTTTTCCGTAATCATAGAACAATTTTCTGTTCACAGATTTAATGCATCTATCCTAGATAGGATATGGACAAAATTTGAAATATTTGCATCCAGTGCATTCTTTCTGAAAAATGAAAGCAACATTGGGCCACAAAGGGTTAAAAAAAGTGGCGCCCAACATGTAGCTATGTTTTTCATGTTTGTGATTTATTTCAATTGATTTCATCCGCACATTGAGTGGATTCTTAACAAATAATGCATGACTTGACTTTGTGTTTAGAGAGTAAAGAGAATAGAATGGTAATTGTAGTATGAACTCTCAACGAAACTCTCTCCTAATTTTAACTTAGAGAGTAAAGAGAACGTAATAGAAAAATCAATATTAGCTAATCTTATTATTGAGCAATAAAAATAAACGACAACTTCATTGTTTCTCAGCAATACTCTCCCCGAATTAATTTAAAGAGCAAGGTGAGTGGAAATAATGTTAAAAAAAATAAAATATAGATATTGTCTCATGCCAGCATTATTTGTGTCTTTTCCTCAGTACTTCCATTTAAAATAGTGAAAACAAGACTGTAGTCCAGATTGTGCTAAAGTTGCCAGGAGGTCTCCAACGGCAAGTCTGGCCAAATGTAAGGATAACATGCACTATGTTTCCTACTCTGTATACTTCAAGATTGAGAAGGCAAGAATTGAAGGAGAGGAAGCCACAAAAATTAAGAATACCTACCTTAGGGAGCCTAGGAGAAGATGAACGACTTCCAAGCAAGTGAAAAAGGTCATCAAGAGTGAGACGGAGAAGATGAAGCACTTCCAAAAAGATCTTTTACTGGAGGGGAAGCATCGGAGTCGACCATTAAGATCAGGAATCCCAAAAAAAGATCGGTCCCCATGCACATCTCTTCGGGTCTGTCGCACTTACGTCGGTAAATGCTTTTTTACCGATAATCGAGTGTCGCGCCTAATGTTGACACACTTATAGAATAGTGTTGGATCTTATGACGCTATTTGTGCAAAGCGGAATTTTTAAACCTCTGCACTACAATGATGCCCAATAGTTATCCTACACAGAGGATGACCCTATTTTCTATATTGCCGTAGATATGTATCAATTGTTTCTTATTTTGTTAAATGAAATTTAAATTGGAACCACAAAAAGGGTCTCAATAGCTGCAGTTCCATAGGGATACCATGAAATTGGCGCCCAAAATGGGGTTTGTGCGTTGTTTAATCCAAATACCGTAAAAATGCAAGCATTTGTGCTTAGATCCAAATTTTTTGCTCAAATGGCCTAAAATTTTTAATTTTGCCACGCTATAAAATTGTAATATCATTTTGGCGCCCAACGTAGAATGCATGATAATTCTTAGCTGTACCACTGTTTAAATTTTTGTGAAATTTCGAATGATTCAGTCAAATAAATGATAATAAATAAAAAAATAACACGTAAAATAAATTATAATTTTATTGATTACAACTAAAAACGAATTAAATGAAAACAAATTTCAACAATTTTAAAAATAATAAAATGTAAACAAGCATAATGTCTTTATATTGTGCAATACACTTTTGATATACCTAAAGATAAAATAATTGAAATAATATCATTATTTTTTAAATTCACTCTAAATGGATCCAAGATCCTTTTGAAATTAAATTCTAATAACATGAAGTGCTTATAGCATTTAACAAAAATTGATAAAATTAAAAGTGTTCAGAGTATTAAATTTCAAAATTATAACTACTTGAAAATGTTGAAAAAAGTAAAAATAAAACTAGGCGTGGGCTGGCTATATTAAGGCGAAGGTAGGTAGGGGATTAGAACATAGGGAGGATTAGAGAATTACAATGTTCGAGAATTTGTTGAAACAGTAACGAGTACCGAGTACAAAGTATGTATGTATGTGTATGTTTGTTGTATACAATAAAAATGTCATGTTAGTTAGTCAAGGTTCTAAATAGGGCTAACGGAATGGTGTGGGAAGCAATAATTTTAACAATTGAACGTTGGTTGGTTTTTTGGAGAGAGATTGTTTTTTTTAATTTATATTCATTTAAACATGTTAAGTATTAAATTTTTGTACAGGCAAAAGACTATCGAATGCATTGCCAGTAGCTAGCATAGATACTCCTGCCAGGGGATCCAATAGATTTAAGTGTTAGTAAGGCAGGATCCAATTTCCTGTTAACATGTTTAAATGTATATAAAAAATGCACAAAATGACACATTTTTGACCCAGGCTTCACTTTTCTATTATTTCATCTTTGGTTTTTGGTGTTAAAAAATTCGTTAGTTGTTGTTGCGGTTTTTTTTATAGATTTCTATAATTTTAGTTCTGCTTTATATAACGCAGTATTAGCCTAATTTTCTGTAGTAGTTTGTAAAGAGCTTGGCGCCAAAATTGTGTCAATTTGTGCATGTGGGAAATCTCCATCGTTCAAATGTACGAGTAAGGACCATCAGTTAAGGCGCTACACAGTAACAATCAAGAGTTATCATCCTTATTGGAACCGCCCCCACCGACTCCGGAGCCTTGTGTATTGGCATTGCGGCCGCCGGTAGGCGCTCGTACCGCTGGTGGCTTATATTCCAGGCCCGGATCGAACTGCATTAAAACGAATACCTGCAACAGCAATGAAGAATTCAGATTAGTTATGCTGATGTGTGAGTTTGGGGTGGAAAGAGGAAAATCTCACCTGATCTGTTGGCAGTAGTGAAAAATCATCGGGTGGGTTTGTTATAACATAACGTTTGCTACTCGCATCACAGCTGGAGCTGGTATCCCGAAATCTGTACAGACCTATGCATAGCATGCCATAGGATTTTAATGCTGCCACAAATAAATCACCATATTTGCCACATTCACCAAATTGCGCTAATGGACCATCGTACAATGATATTTGACCCACTCGGCATCTGTAATGAAAAAGAAATTAAATTAATGGTACTTGAAAAAAAAAAAATCAAAAATCCACGCCTGACAGAAATTAAAAAAATATATATATATTTTATATATCCACACATTTTTAATAATTTTAAAAATTATATCCTTTGTTATTACTTACCTATCTCGATTACTTAAACTTTCCGGCGTACTATAACCTCCTCTCAGACCCGCACCTTCTGCTAATATCAATTCTAGTTCCGGTGTGGCTCCTCCCGTAATTAATGATCTGATTAATGTCAATGCATTTTGATTGAAATAGGTCTACAAAAATTAACACCAACAAAAATATTAAATAACAAAATTCCCATATGAAAATTCCAAAATAAATTGAGAATCAATATTACCGTTGACATCAACGAATCTAAGACACTGACGGCAAACGCTGTGCCGCATGCAAAGGGTTGTGTTAAATATAGTTCGGTATCGGGATCATCGTCGTCGTCTTGATCGAGAAACTGCACATTACTATCGTTGACAAGTTCTTTAAGCAACAACCAAAACCATTGGCGATGGTGAGTAAAATAAATTAACTTACAGTTTGAAATGATTTTGAAGGCTTAAGTATCCTTTGCTCTAAGTTAAAGAGTAAAGGATATTTAGCGCTTCGCTTGTTATTAGCACTCACTAGATTAGTAGTGGCGTAGGAAAGCTATGCTTAGTAAGCTTAGTAGAGTGGAGCCATTGTAATACAAATGAAATTTTTTGGTCAAACTTGAGTCTGTTATAACTTCCATATAATCTCGGGATGTAGGGAAATTATAACAAATGAAAGTTGCCAATGAGGAGGGAAGCTTACTAAATCATCTTAGGTTGGGGATGATTGAATAAGCTTATTTATTGTAGTGTGATTCTTTGTGAAAACAAGCAACTCAATAGGGTGCCTGTCTTCTAAGAACCCTAGAAGTTCGTATTACAAATGGCTCCGGTTAACTGGCTCGGGTGTTATTTTCTCACTATAGATTTTCATTGAAGGAAAGCTACACCATTTAAATAAAATTAAAACGCAAATAAAAGATAATTTAATGAAATCAAAAATTATTAATTTCAAAATTTTAATTAAATCAAAACAAAATATTATTTTCAAAATCAAAAATCCTTAATGCTATAGCTTTCCTTCATCTATCTCTGTGTGTGGTGAAAGTAACACATTCAGCTAATCGACATTTTCGTATTGGTTAAGCTTTGGTCGCTGGCTGGCAAACATAGCCAAGTTAGTGCAATGCAGTTTACCTGTTATCATGGGCACATTGGCGCCATAGACCGATCCGCGACGCTGCAGTACAATGGGACTGCCCGCCGCCGCTGATAGATTGTCGAATTCTGGACCCCGTTGACTCAACACTCCAATGGTATCGTCGAAAGTCATGGCTTTAATATTCAATGATGCCAAAATAGCCTCTTTGTCGGCCAATGTAGGATCATCATTGCTAGGAACTTTAGCCGATAATATGCAACACATGTCGCACAAATTAACATTTACGGCCCTTAAATCGGCTCTACTTAACGGAGAACCATTTAGCACCGAGATTTTCGGCAGATTTTGTAACATCTTCCATTCCCGCCTTATGTAATCAACTGATCCCACAATGACCACATGTTTCAATTCATGATAATGAAAATTTGAAGCACGCAGAGGCATGACTAAATTACGCAAACCAATTAGAGGTGAGTCTGGATCGGCGAAAAGGCAGACAACCACATGACCATTGAGGACAGTCATGGCCGCTTGATTACGATCCTAAATTGTGAATATTTTTCGGTGTTATGCAAAAGAAGTTATTATTACGAAATATCCCAACACAACACATTACAATGTAATACATTACCAGTATACAGTCTTCTAGGCTCTTGGCGGGACTCCAGTGGAACATACCCGTAGAATCATATTTCATTTCGGTTTTTTCGAAATCAAAGTCTTTCGATTGATCATCGGCAATGCCGGCTGGCAATGAGACGCTGCCATTGGGGTTTTGTGAACCGGTACCGGTGCTACGGCTTGTTGGCCTACGGTGATTGGATAGAGAATAAAAAAATACAATTATTTTAATGTTGACGAATTTTCGGTGCTTATTATTCTTTCTTCAAAAGATATACAGACAGACACAGCGCATAAGACGAAATTGTACAAATGAGGAATAAGATAGATAGATTGATAGCTAAATGTTATTTCAACCGAAAAATAAACGTAAGTAATGAATGCTAAACATCAAAATGCAAAAAATCATGAACGTTTTGTTCTTTCGTTTCAGTGAAGGTTTTGTTTTTGTAGCCAAAACAAAATGAATTACAACGATGATGACAATTCTAATAATGTATTAGTAGTTATTATAAAAAAGTTTGAAAATTGTTATGTTAAAAAATATATAAACTACATAAACGTTATAAGGCGTAGAAAAATGTAAGAAGAGTAATTTTTGTAGCCATAGTTTGATGAAGTAAAAAAATGTTTGATTTTACTAAGGCCATATCAGATAATAAAAGTTATGACAATGTTTATGCTGAGAATGAAGTTCAATGAATTATTTTATGAAAATGTCATTTGAGTTGTTGATAAGGAATATTCAGGTATTCCAAAATGTATGCATGGTTACTGTATTTCCGTACATATAAGCGGGGGATTCTTATATCAAAATCTGATTATAAGCTGAATCACCAAGGGGTGCCATTTTCGGACTTGATCTAGGCTTGGTAATGATAAAAGGTTGTACAAAGTTTGGTTCAAATCGGACATTCCATTCGCTTGATATTGGATTTATAAATATTGAAAATGTTCACTAAGGTTGAAATATTAAGATGTGCAAAAAAACGATGAAATCAGACAGACGGACGGACATTTATAAATCGACTCCAAATGGGGTCTAAAAACAATATTTCGATGAGGCACTTTTTCCCCGTATAAATTCCCTCATTAGCCATAAGACTAAGGTTATAAAAATGGATATGAAAATTCTCTAAAATAGAATTGAATCATAACATCCACAATAAAAATATACCAGATGTCTGTTTGTTTATTACACTTTTGAAAAATTATAAAATTCTACTAGTTTGCTGAAAATCCGACGCCTATATAGACCATTTGAATGCCTCGTTCGTCATTTTTTTTTTTCGTTCACGCAGTTCCGTGTTGATTCGTCCGTTGGTGGGTATATGGACGAGAAGGAACCAAGAATAGGGAATAAATGAACTATAGCTGCAATGGCCTAGTACGTTCCGCATTTGTCATTTCTCTCGTATAGTAAACGTTCGTTCAGGTCATTAAGTGACCTAAAATTAAATATATTGTCTGTCCTAATTCATAATCTCTTTTCAGTGAATCATTTAATGGAACTAGTTTCTTTGTGACTAAGCAACTTTAATTGTTAAGTTTAATCACCCAATAAATAATTTCTACAAATGTTTACCGGTCATCGTTTGAAGTTTCATATACGAATCATTCATAGCATAAATCAATAAACTTATTGAAGGAAATCTGAAGCGAATCGCTCTTTTCCGCTCGCTACTCAAAATAAACAAGGTCATTCATCTAGTTCCATCGTTCACTGGTTAGTTAGTACGGTCAATGAACGGGAAGATCTAAATGAACGAATTAAAAAGGAACTAGATGAGCGAGAGCCAAGTCCAACTCCACAATAAAATAATTCGATAAAATCATTTAGATGAAAGTAGGCGTTCTTAGAACGAGTTCCCCACTGCAACACTTTAAAAAGTTGTTCAACTGAGGAACTCGATCTATAAACTCAGAATTTCGTATAATTTGTTTCTTGAAATCACTTCAGTGTAACCTTCGACAAAATGAACTGTATAAACGAAAGAACCGAAGCTGATACCCATAGCTCATTTGAACTAGTTCGTTTCGTTACAATTGGTTCGTTTCCGGACAATTGGTGAGACACAGAAAGTTTATGCGAACAACACCGCTTCGATTCAGTTTATGGATCAAAACTTCACGCGAATCAATGGGAATTTGAACATTTTTTAACTCTTTAATAACACTTGTCATTTTAGTTACATTCTTCAAACAGTTATACTTTTCGTATAAAACCAGTATTGCATTTGAATAGGACTATGATTTTGATTATGATTTAAAATAAATTGAGATATGAAATGATTTAGTTTTGTGTGTTAAATCACTAATTGATTCTAAAACGCGTTTAGACTATATCTCATCTATCAACTCGATTTGTAAATCGAGGAACTAAATCTTAGCTGTTTAGACTAGTATTTGAATGATGTAAAGTTATCAGTCAGCTGATATTTGTTTACGTATACATACACATTTCATTGGTTTATTAATTCAAAATCGCAATATACGTAGTGTAGCTCTGTAACCAGTTAAGGACTATATTACGGAGATTATCGATAACTGCAAATTTGCAATTGCTTATAATTGAGTTTCCTAGCTGGTGACCTGTTTAAAGGGCTAAGCAGAATGCTCGCGTTGAGCCATCCGTCGCGTTTTATGTTATCGAAAATACAACAACTACAACGAAACGATATGGGTTTGTGTTATCGTTTCCTTGTGGTTGTTGTATTTTCGATAACTTATAACGCGACGGATGGCTCAACGCGAGCATTCTGCTTAGCCCTTAAGAGATCTTGCATGTGTGTAATTAATTGTAGGGATCCATAGATCGTATTTTGCATTTTTCTATTATTCGGGTAATCGAAATGTAGATAATGATAGTCGACATCAAATGGTGACATGTATGAAACGAAACTATGGATGAAATTAATTTCATGAAACATGAAATTTAATAAAATATGACAAAACTATAATTATGACTCGACTCAATAACGTATTTTATAAAAAATGGTTCATGAAATATAAATTGATGAATTATATTTCATATAGCTTCTTTTAAAAATGGCAGCTTATAAATATAAGTAAAACTAATTCTTTAAATATATGACACAGAAGACAGAGACAGACAGATAGATAGTTAGTTAGAGAGAGAGAAGATAGTAGGAAATTAACGAATAGGATAAAAAGTAGTGCAAAAACCAAAATGACACCAGACTAGAAGTAGAGTACAAAATTGTTTTTTGTTGTTTGATTCGAGAGAGAGAGAGTGTGTGTTTTTTTGTTAAGAGTATACGACTAAGTATAAGTATGTAGGGTACACAGTGTGCGTGTTTTGTTAAAGACATTACACAATATATAATGTAATGGAACTTAATATACAAATGCACAGACATTGACACAGATATACACACACAGATATAGCATTAATAAACAGACATATAAACAGAGTTGTAATTTTGTGGCGTTCGTAAAATAAAAAATAGACAAGACAAGGCTTTAAATAATAAAAAATGAATATAATAAACTAAAAAATACATTCACATATTAGAAAAAAATAAAATATCAATTAAGAATGCATTGTTTTTTTAAGGCGAGAACACACGATGTTGTACATAGTTACGACACGTTATGTACGTTACGTTACGACAATTACTTTATGTTTACGTTTACGTTTAACTTTAATTTGTTTAGTTTACAATTTTTTAAGAAATTAAAAACAAAAAACACACAATAGATAGCAACTCTGTTTTTTATGTTATTGTTTAAAAATTTGTTGTTAGTATTTGTTTAAAATTTTAGAACGATTCACAAAAATCAACAAAAATAGTAGTAGTACGATAGTAATGTATGATTAGAATAGTAGTAGTAGTTATTTAGGAAAAAAGTAGTAGTAGTAATTAGTAATGGACGCATACATGAGCTTTTTAACTTCGTAAGCAAGTTGATAGCCCGCATAAGGATTAGCTTCGTTTTCGGGAGGCCTGTAACAAAACCGTTAAGAAATTAAAAAAAGAAAAAAGAATTTTTGTAAGCATTTCCTGCAATGTTTTTTTGTTTTGTTTTTGGTTCAATCAATTTTGTTTAGAAAAAATTTTTGTTTTGTTTATAATTAATTATTTCGTATTTAAAATTTAGTTATTAATAATTTGTTTTTGTTGTTTTAAATCGCTTGAAATATGAACATGATGTAAAAATGCATATAGTATATCACAAAATAAATGGAACCATATGAAGGACGGAGATAAAATGGATTGTTAAAAAATTTAATAGGGTCATCGTTAGAATTTTTTGATCACAATGTTTTTGTTTCGATAATTTATATGCTTCTTCTGACAATGAACTCAATACATAGCAAAAATAGCACGCCATTGTTGTATTCAACAACTGCTCGATATGTTCATAACATTGGGCGCCATTACAAAATGCTTATCTACAATAGATTTGTGACACCAGCTTAAATGTCCAAAAAATTGTTACATGTTAGGTTCAATAAAAATAATAATATTTTCCTTTTCTATCCGTATTTCTTCATATGAGGTGGCGCAGGAGATGATATATACCAGGCAACGACTCTGATTGGCTTTAACATGGCAGAGCCCAGGCTTATCTTGATCCCCATTTCATCTCAATTGTGGACACTGACCTCCCCGCGGTGTCACAAATCAGATGATTACGCACTGTATTATAGCTGCCATGAAACGAGACATGAATTTGGTTGTGGATTTATGGTTAACAGGAGAATTAAAGACCTCGTCTCCAGATTCACTCTATTAGATGAGCGAATTGCTATAATTCGTATAAATGCGAAGTTCTTCTACATCAGTGCAGCAAAAGTAACAAACCACCTTGAAGGTGGTTTCAGGAGTTTTAGAATGGCACGATCAAGAGTGTCACAATGCTACTGAGTTGAAAAACGCAGCGTATAGGACAACCCTGCAAACAGTAGCAACACGCAATGCGAGACAGAATTATCGGGAAAAAAGAAGAGAGGAGAAACGTATTTTCAAAAGAATGAAGAAAGAACCAGAAAAACGTGAGCGTGAGGAAGTGAGTCAGAAAAAAGTCCGGAAATTTTACCAACGAGTAAAACACCAAAACGAAGGCTTTAGTGCGGACACATCCTCCTGAAGAGATGAAGAAGAAAAACTGGTAACAGATACAGACAGCGTGTTGTGTGTCGGGAAGGAGCAGTTTGCAAAGTTCCTGGTATCAAAGAAGAAGGTGAAGAAGATACTCCAGAACCAATTAGAGATGTCGTTATAGATTGTATTAGGTGATAGACAATTTATAACGACAAGATGAGGTCAGAATATCAATTAGTCGACTGAAGAATAATAAAGCAGTAGCCGAACTATTCATGACCGGTAGTCAGACGCTGATCAGGATCATACACCAACAGATATATACAATTTGGCTAGAGGAATGCATGTCGAATGATTGGTACCCTAGCATCGTGTGTTCCGTGCTCAAAAAGGAGACAAGACGATATACATCAACTATAGAGGAATTAGTCTTCTTCCCATCGCATATAAAGTGATATCCAGCGTGCTGAGTGAACGACTAAATCCAATGGTCAATGATATTATTGGATCTTATCAATACACCTTCAGACCTAGCAAATCCACTATAGAGCATTTTTTCACGCTGCGACAAAACCTGGAAAAGATCCACGAAAAATACATCGACACATTTCACATTTTCGTCGACTATAAATCCGCATTCGACAGTCCAATCCGCTCAGAGGTGTTTAAAGCCATGTCTGCGCTCGGCATTACTGCAAAATTAATACGGCTATGCAGATTTACTTTAACTGGCACAAGGTCAGCAGTTAAAGTCGGAAAATATCTCTCGGAGCCCTTCAATACCGAACGAGGATTCAGACAAGGTGACTTATTGTCGTGTGATCTGTTTAACATCCTGCAGGAAAAGGACATACGGGACGCAAATGATAACAGAAATGACACTCCGTACACCAAACAGAACCTGGAAACTACAGCTTCGAGATAGTCAACGATTTTATATAACTAATATTATAAAATTAATTACATCTGTTTTGAAATTCGGAGAAAGATACAGATGCTTTTATGGTCTGAGTAAAGAATTCAATAACAAAGCCATCTCTCGCCAGACCATGGGAAGATCAAGTGGAAGACAACATCTCGGAACATGGTGTTTCAAATTGGAAGAACTGCGCACAAGTCCGACGCGCCCGTAAATTTTTTAAGCTCGGCTTTTGGAACAAATGTTCTGTCACAAGCCAGCTAAGCAGGGACCGTAACGGTTATAACTTATATCAAATCAGGTAAAAAATAACTGTTATTATGTGACCTAAATAAAAAAAATCCACTTTAATTATTTATTTTTTAAATATAAAAGTCTTTTTGGGACTTTTATTTTTTCCGTCAAAAATAAAAGTCTTTTTGTGATTTTTATTTTTTCCGTCAGGAAATAAAAGTCTTTTTACGTAAATAAACATATAGAGTTTGGTACCAGTTATATAACCTTTGACCTTATAGTCAGGGTAATGATTCTTTAATTTATATTCATGATTTGGTCCACTAGACTATTTTTTTAAAATTTATAACAAATATTTTTTACCTTTGATCTTGATTACTTATGTGTACACTTATTGTAATAAGGACAAATTTATAAATTGTAATTTTATAACTGATTACAAGTTGTATAAACTTCTTTACATAAAAAGAGTTTTATTTCCTGACGGAAAAAATAAAAGTCACTTTTATTTTTGACGGAAAAAATAAAAATCCCAAAAAGACTTTTATTTTTGACGGAAAAAATAAAAATCATTTTTAACAGTTAAAAATCAACGTTTATTTTTTGTTAAAAAATAATCCTTAACATAAGAACTGAGAGTGTTTTCTTCACTCAATATCCTTAATGGGCTCCTCAACACGAATCTATTGGTATATGACACTATTGGTGTCCCATGTCTCTAACATGAAGATTTTTTTGTTCGCATTTTAAAAAATAACTGTTATTTTCGGTCCCTGCAGCTAAGTAAGTATTTCTTCATATGGTTCCATTCAATGATAAAATGATACAAGAAACTATAATTACAAATTATAAAAAATTTTCAAAATTAAAAACAAAAAATAAATATTTGAAAATTATTTTACAAGAAAACAATTTAAATTTCTCATTTCAGTGGGGAAATTTAATTATTTCGTATTTGGGTGGTGTAAGATAAAACAGATCTCTATTAGAAGAAGTCAATAAAAATTAAACATTCGCTGTTCTAAAAAATTGGGCTTGTGGTTTTGTTTTTTTTTTTTAAGTATTAGTTTTGCTTTGTGTTTGTTTTTGGTTTTTTTCTTTTGATTTTGGTTGGTTGGTTAGAGACTGATGACATTATTTATAAAAATGAACAGACGTGAACAGAATGATGAAAGGATTTCCACCAATTAATATTGGATGTAGTTGTTGTTATTTTTGTTAAGTTTATTTGGTCGAACATAGGAGGACTGACTAACAAATCACATTTTTTTGTTCATATTGTATGTATGTACGTATGTATATATAGAGAATAATAACAAATAAGAGAAATAAAAGGAAAATAACATTTAAGCGTTGTTGTTGTTGGTATGTATTGTTTGTTTGGTTTTTTTTTAAATTATTATTATACATTTTTGGTGCTATTAAATTTTTTGGTTTATTTTACATTGGCAATTAGTTTTTGTTTTTTATTTTGTTCTTCTTTTTTGTTTTTGTTTATTTGACCTTTTTATTTTTTATTAATAACAGAGTGTTTCTCTAGACAATTGGTTTAAGAACAGGAAATAACAGACATACATATTTGATATTTTCCTAGAAGTGGTAACAGTTGTTGTTGTTTTGTTTCGTTTTTTCTTTACTCACCGATTATATTGTGAGGGTGACATAACCTGACCCTCTAATTGTTGTCTATTTACAGTTGGTTTGACTTTATTCACTTGTTTCACCGTCCCCGATGGATGTAGACCCGTTGTTCCATTACCCGGCGCCATACTTGTAGACCCGTTCGGCCGTCGATTGTGACGATTTAAAACTGAAGAATAGAGGAAATTATTGTGTTATTTTTTATTGTATAAAATTCTATATTTATATAGGGAAGGCAGTTTGATGTTTGCGATTTGCATATTTGTTTTTGAAGATATATTTGAATATAAATATATACTAATACCTATACTTAATTGTATTTTACATTTGTTAATTTTTTTTATTTTTCGAGAAAAAGATTCCAAATTTAACATTTATATCAGGCTTGTAATTATTTCCTAGAGTAAATTGAATTCATATGTTTTAGTATATATGTTTTTTTATACAGTTTCCATGGAGCATTTTCCCAGAAACATTGTGTAATTTTTCAAAATTGTGTCATTTAGTAGGGGAGATACAAGAGATGATGAGTATATATAGCCGGTTCCGCCAAATCAGTTATTAGTATAAATATTAGGGTTTGCGAAGTTTACACCCAAAATGATTCACCATTTCGTCATGTGTTTTTTTTTTCAAAGAGTTTATCATATGTGCGATGGTACCAGGAGAAGTTACCCCTCTTCAGATTTAATGTAAATGTTACGATAATAAATATATCAATTCAGATACTTCATTTTCTTCATAGGAAAATTGCAAGGTTTTATACATTCTGACACATTTTGAGAGAGGTATCAACATGAGAAGACATGTGGTTCCTATATTCGGCCATGACCTAGGTTTGATAAAAATATGACGATCGAAATTTGGGTCACTATATCCGCTTGATATTGGTATTTAAGGAATTCAAATTCAACATGTTAACACTTTGTGGTGGAGGTACTAGAAGGAGTGGACCCATAAACCTCATTTTCAAACATTATGATGCAGATTCGGTTCAAAGAAAAATAGGGTCTAATACCAAACCCTAATTAGGCATAAGGCTGACTGTATAGTTATAGCTGAGTTATGGTTATAAGATATAAATGTTTAAATATCATAAAATACAAGGTACTATTCAAAATAGTTCTGAAAAATTCAAGCTCTGGTGGGAGGGGAGACTGGGGCACCTTCGGCATAGGGGCACATTCGGCGAATTTGATTTTTTTGACAAAACTGTAGAAATATACTAATACTAATTTATTGTATGTTTTTATAATTAAATATCAGAGAACAATAAACAGCCATAAAGTTTTTATATCTGTTGAACAAGTACTGAGCTCTCTCTACTCACGAATAAATTGATGCTCAAATAGTCATCGAAAAAATATACTCCTTGATAATCGATGACATACGCTACCTAAAACTTTACTATTATAACATTACGGGGATACCTTGAAACAAATCATTGCTCGGATTCTCCTTGAAAGAATTCACCCTATAATAGTTCTTCAATAATCCATTATTTTGTAAACGATGAGATATCATGTCCTTAAAAAGATCAGCGCTCTGATAGTCCTTCAAAATCTGCTCACTAATAGTCCTTCAAAATCAACCTTTTCATAATCGATGAATACACGCTCTGATAATTATGAAAACAAGTTCAAAAGGTGATAAGTTCGGCCCGTCCGAACATTTAATACCCTCTACCATGAGTACAAAATATATAAAATTAATGAAGACTCCTAGGAGTCTAAGGTCCTATCATTTTATGTGCTATACAATAAGAACCAAAAATACCAAATCCAATTCGGTTGAAACATGTGTCGAAAATCTCCTAAATATCGAATATTGGGGGTACCGCCAGTATATAAGCGTTATATGGAGGCTACACCAAAACGTGCAATATCAAACATCCTAGGAGTACTAGCAATGCCTGTTTTAAATAATGCGATCTCTATCGCGGTTCAACAGACGGACGAACAGAAAGACAGAATATATACTTTAAGGAGTCTCCGGCAAATATTTCGCTATATTGGTCCCGAAAACATCAACGTTTATAGTACCTCAAAAATGTTGTCAGGACATTAAAGCTTTGTGCGGCCCCAAAAATTTGTAATGCCGCGAAATATTGGTCGTAGACCCACTAGCTGAGTTGATCTAGACTAATATGATGAAATGAACCAAAAACTTTACGTTTGTGTGATTTGTCCAAACATTTTTACATGGAGAAGGGGATTGGGCCAATGAATAAGAATGCCTGCTTTTATAAAAATCGGTCAATACTAATCGAGACAAATGGACCCTGACTTTTGTGTGATAAATTACAACATTTTTATTCTATAGCGTATATATTTACCCCTGAAGGAGATAGACCCGAGAAGTTGTTAGTATATCAAAGAGGCCTTTACATTGATACCAATTATATTGTCGTATGTACTCATATGTGGGAGTTATACGTAAATACCTACAGGTGCTTATGTATTCAAATATTATTTAATAACCCATTATCACACTGGAGGGTGGAAATGTAGCGCTGATCGCTTTGAAATTTTCCATGTATGGTCAAGGATAACGCCTACAATTTTCGGTGATAATTTTGGGATGAAGTGGACCGAAAACTTAATTTTTTGTTTTTTTTTTCAGTCGAGCTATAGGCCACAAATGAAAGCCGAACATCACAACACAATCCATTCGAATCTGGACAAGTAATTAGAAGAGCTGTACTGAATATTTGTAATATTTGTTGACCTTTAGTCAATCAGAATATATAACCACAGAAAGTTAGATTTTCGTGGAAGTTGTGTAGGGTCGGCTCCGTCCGATTATACTGCCCCGCTCAATGGTTCTTAAATTAGGTTTTCAAATCCATATATGTTGGAAATCCAAAATTATACCTCTGACAGTTTTTTAAAAATCTATGCTGATAATTCTTGGGAATAAATCTGGCAAAATCCATGCTTTTAGCTCGGATAGCCTCTAAAAATATAGTCCTTAAAAACGAAAGATTTTGATAGTCTTTGGGTGATTGTGAGAAACCACTTTTTTTTCTAGAAAGACTTCAAGCTTTGACATAATATGACAAAATTACACACACTTTGAAAAAAAATACACACAATTTAAAAAAATACACAAAGTTTGACAAAAAATACAATTTTAAATATATATACAAATATCCTTGGAAAATTCTTTGAAATTATATCTCAGAGCTCTTGAAAATACACGCTTATAGGTCTTGAAAAATAGTTTTAAACGAATTTACACAAACACGTTCACGTTAAAAAATCAACACGTTTAGGCAAGTATATTCTTGAAAATTTTTTTCTGTAATCACCTACAGGCTTTGAAATTTTCAGTTATGATAACCAAAATGAGATATCCAACACCACCACCAATAATTAAATTAAATTGCATCAAATATGAAGGCATTTGTTAAATAGCACATTGGTTAGTGCACATTAATGTTACTTAACAAGTTATTCGTATAATATTGTACATCAAATTTGCGTAGATATGTTAGTGAAGAAGAAATACGACACCAACTATAAATACATACAGTGAGTGTAATAAGTATTTTGCCTCAATACAAATATGAAAAAATTCCAATTTATACGCCTAAAGCCAGCAAACTAAAGATGTAAAATGAATTATGTATAATGGAGTACGTTTGTGCACATATTTAGATCGTATTTCTGCAAGAATCACAGCGAAAGACCTATTGGTCTCGAATATATCGGCCGAAATATATAACAATCCAAAAATGTTTATCACAAAAAAGTATTTTGCTTTTTATTATAATTTTAGAAAAAATTGTTACATAGAACACGTTTGGTCTTTTTATAGTTACCATTGCGGGTAACGACATACTATAAGTGATTGGGCAACGATTCCAATAAACCACGGCATTTTTTCGAGAGTATTTTCTCACATTTACGTTCAATACATTCTCCAGCAATATTTCATTCAATATTTGGTAATTTCTCGTCCTAATCTCAAAATCAGAGTATTAAATATAGTCGTCGCGGCTTCAAAACATCCCAAATATGTTAAGAATAATAAAAAGGAGGTTTTACAAAATATATCGCGAGGACAGGACCTTAAAAACTATTAAAACTAAAATCCGACAAACAAATTATTTAAAAAAATATCGCGAAACCCCATTTTTCTAACTTCGAAAACTTTATGGTTCATTTTTACTGATCTAGGAACCAAAATATACGATGAAAATAGCAATAAGGTGGTCAGATTCAAATATATGGACGGTTTTCTGGCAATAGAAATACATCTTATTTCGAAAATAAATACATCGACCCATTTATTCCCTACTGCATTTTATTCGCAACTGATGGTGTTAATCGGAGATAAAATATAGAATGCGTATTCGCCACCAGCAACCACAGTTTTTCAAAAGACAATAGGATTTAACGAATAATGATGTTTTCTCCCAACTTCATGTATTGGTTTTTATTACTATTGCCACAAAACCGTTCATATCTTAGAATCTGACCTTCTTATTGCTATTTTCATGGCATATATTGGTTCCTAGATCAATATTACTGGACCATACAAATTTCGAAGTCAGAAAAATTGGGTTTCGCGAATTTTTTTTAAATAATTTGTTTGTCGGATTTTGGTTTTTATAGTTTTTAGATTCTGTCCTCGCGTTATATTTTGCAAAACCTCTTCTTTATTATTCTAAACATATTTGGGATGTTTTGAAGCCGCAATGACTATGTTTAATACTCTCATCTTAAGATTAGGACGAGAAAATACCAAATATTAAATGAAATACTGATGGAGAATGTATTGAATGTAAATGTGAGAAAATACCCACGAAAAAATGCCGTGCTGTAATGGAATCGTGGTCAAATCGCTTATAGTAAGTGGTTAACCGCAATTGTAACTACAAAAAGACCAAACGTGTTCAATGTAACAATTTTTTCTAAAATAATAATAAAAAGCAAAATACTTTTTTGTGATAAACATTTGTGGGTTATTATATATTTCGGCCGATATCTTCGAGACCAATAGGTCTTTCGCTGTGATTCTTGCAGAAATACGATCTAAATATGTCCACAAATGTACTCCATCATACATAAGTCATTTTACATCTTTAGTTTGCTGGCTTCAGGCGTATATATTGGAATTTTTTTCAAATTTTTATTGAGGCAAAATACTTTTTACACTCACTGTATGTCAATAAAACATTATGTTTGACAATATAGTTTTTTTTTTTGGATTTCCTGTCTTATTGGTACATTAGATACAGTCTTATAACTTGAAAGCTTCTTATCACTTCATAAATATAAAATATTCCAAAAATAGAATTTTTAATTTTATTTTTAATTTATTTATGTTTTCCTAAAAATCACATCAAACTGCTTTCACTTTAAAAATTTTGAATTTATAAAAAAAAATACTTACGATTCATATCTTCACGATCTCTTGTAATATCACCTTTACATCAAATGGCGCAGAGAGAAAGTTTTAAAAAGAGAATTTATTAATAAACCAAGAAATTAAGCAACAACAATATTTGTTAAAAACATATTAATATAACAAATAGAGAAGACATATTTATAGGAATAGGAATATAAGCTGTAGAAAGGTAGATTTTTTTAAACATTTTCTTGTCTAGTGTTAGAGGCTTTGATTTCTCACAGCGTTTATAGGCAATAGCAGGGATGGTTGGCAGGTAGAAATATAGCTTAAAAGTTATTATACATATTTATGTATATGTATCTACTAATACAACCATCACCACCACTACTATAAAACAGGAGAACATTAGCTGAGTTTTTTTTTTGTGTTAGAATTAGAGTAACTTCAATTTTTTGGTTCTTTAAAATAGGAGCGTTAAAAGGATAGCTTTCAGTAACAACTAAATAATTTCAATACAAATACAAAATAAACTTAATAAAAACAAAAAATGCATTTAGCATTTTTAATCAAAAAATTATATATAACATAAAAACAAGCCATATAAATGCAAATAATTTTCAAAAATGAAAATATATATAACTTCAATTTTAATTTCGTTCGTTTTCTTTTTCGGGATATTTTAATTGTTTCGTATTATAAATATAACAACTCTGTACATAGAATTAGCAAAATATTGTATGAAACACATTTGAGTGGGAAAATGAAATCAACTAAAAAATAGAGAATAACATTTTTTTTTAATATTTGCAAGCCAGAAAAGGTTAACTTCTTCGGAAGATTTTCTTTAATTGGAGTTTATATTATTATATTTTGAAGTGATGATTTTTTAAAAACCAATAATTTAATTTTTCATATACATTTTCTTTTTAATATTCAATTTTTTGAGACAGCCAATGAATGGTGTAATGCAAAAATTGCATTATTTAAAAAAAATTATTATTTTCAACTTTTATGGCTTGCAATAAATTATATATCAACAATATATTTTTTTTTTAATTTCACAACATGCTCTCCAAAAAATTACACATGTAGAAATTCTGATACATTGGAAGAAATTATTTATATATTTATCAAATATATATAGAGAGAGAATATAGTATGTATAGATTTATTTTCATTAGATACAGGACTTTGGTTTTTTTTAATTCATAAAGAGATAAATTATGAAGAGCGGAATTGGTTTAGAACGGAAAACCAAAAATATAAATATATTATTAAAAAATTCACTACAACCTAAAAATTAAGAAACAAGAAGAAGAAAAATATGTCATAAAAAGCCAACCTAAAATACGTATAAAACAATAACAGAAATTTGTCATGAGAGAGAAAAATTTTATAAAAAATTGATATTTTATATAGGCCTAACACTTAATCATTCTTATTTGTATTTTTTGCAAAACAAATATTTGCAAAACAAATTTTGCATTGCTGTTTTTTCGGAAATGTCTAAAAAAACAATCCCTTTCTAAATAATAAACAACTGAAAATTTGCTGAAAACTGTTATTGATTTTTTACCCGATATTGATCGACGCACATGCACCCTTTTTGGTAGTTCTGGTGGTGTAAATGTGGGTGCAGGATGGTGATCATCTGTTGTCATTATTTCATGTTTCCACAATAAACGGGTTTCGATTTCGTTGACGTTTTCATTTTTGTTCGTTTTATAGTCGAGTTTTTTTGTTTGTTTTGTTTCGTAAAGGAAAAAAATATAGATATTTCATTTTAGTTTGAACTTCTGATAGTAATTTCATTAAGGTTCAAGTAATAGGAATTAGTCAGAAAAAAAATAAATTGAAAATAAAATTGGAGATATTTAAAGAGAAAAAATAAACGTATCTAGAAATTAAATATTGAAACAAAACGAAGGGTAGACGACAAGTGACAGTGTTATTTTGTTTTTATTATATGTAACTATTTAATAAATATATTTTTTAATTGTCAAAAGTTTATATATGTTTTGAATCACTTTAACGTTAAATTTCACTTTTTGCAAAGATATGTCATTTATTTTATGTATATTTAACAGTTTTGATATCGACTTAATCACGACAGAATTTAAGACTTATCCCGAGAAATCAATTAGACGCATCATTGATTCAATTTTGTAGTTTAAAGATAAACTAGTTCAATTGCATGATTCACTGAAAGGAACAACGGAACCGGTTTAGGCAAAGTGTATGTCGAATATCAATCTAATCGCATTCTTGCATCGTAAAATCAGTCTGTCAAATTTTATCTAGTAATATTTTCTAATGATCGGGAACATTGCACGTCGAATTCAAGTAGAAACTATGTCGTGACAGTTAATCGGATATTCAGCTGCGCTAAATAGCGTGTCTATATATTGTGCAATGGAACACACTATGACTTATAAAAAAGTTAATACATTTTTGCAGTACGGAAACAGCGTGTGTACTCGCCATAAAATCGATGTATGAAATTGTAAATCACAATCAGCACGATACGAGTTTTTTCATATAACGTCAACTTTCCTTTTCTAGAATCGAAATTTTTTTTGTATTACTGATAACCCATAACAAGTGACTCAATAGAGACTACGAGTGGGGACCCACTATGAAAATTAAATTTTCGATTGTTTTCAATGTATGAATATTCTTATAATAAAAATACAAAAAAGGAACTAGGTTGTTCATCTTGTTACATAGTTGCTTTAATTGTTCATTCGCCCAATGAACAATGATTAGAAAAATAAGAACTAGGTGAGAATAGTTGGTTTTCCAAAAATATTTTTATTTTTCAATATAATCTCCTAAAACTTCAATACATTTAGTCCAACGCTTTTCTAGCAATTCTCTTCTTTGATAGAATTTGAAGTGAAACACGCTTGTCAGCAAAAAATTTAGATTTGGGAACAAGTAAAAGTCACTGGGAGCTAAATCACAGAATAAGATGGGCGGTAAAGCAAATCGTACTTGAATTCGTTGATTTTCAAGTACGACGATTGCGCTAGTGCGTTGTCTTAATGAAACATTTTTTTTGTGTTGTAAGTCTGGATTTTTTTCTCGAATTGATTCAAAAGGTTGCAATAGTACTCTGCCTTAACTTTACCAACCGATTGTATTGTTTTTGCCTTCTTTGGGGCACTTCCTGCAGCTTCAGTCCTTTTTTTGAATTGTTCTTTTGTCTCTGGAGTATCATTTGTAGTTCTTCATGTAAAATTAAATGCACTCGATCATTTGAGATGCCTGTGATATTAGCAATTTCACGCACTTTTATTCGTCGATGCACTTTGGCTACAATTTCTGCTGCTGATTTTGGTTCGTGGTTCATCTTCAATGCAAATTTAGCAACCCAATTTTTTACTTTTGCATATGAAGGAGCGCTTTCACCTAACATATTCACCATGTCATTATGAATTTCTTGTCTCGATAAACCTTTTTTATGTAAATATTTAATGACAACACTCATTTCTAATTTTTCCATTTTTAAAAATTTGCGGATGCGTCTTTTTTTAACACCTGTTTCTATATGAAGGAGATGTCAGATCGAAACAAAATTTAACATGTGTTCATAACAGAGATGGAAGTTTCCAAAACCCATTACTTTTTTATTTATACCACGCTATATGTGCTGGGCTAAGAAGTTTCCGAACTGCCCTCGTATTTATCTACTTTGTGTACTATTTATACAACAATATATTGACACATATGTTGTTAACAATGTGACAGCATCTGAAAAACGTTCGAGAACGAATGAAGAATATGAGAATAAAGCAATGAGTTCAGAAAAATGAACTTATTTCGATCGTTCTTTTCTCAGACTAGTTCCAATGAACTAGTTCGTTCGGAACTACCCAACTCTAAAGTTCACGCTTAAAGAAGGTAATTTCAGTTCGACTTCGGACGTCTCACAATAAAGACAACATTTTACGCCATGACGTTTGCATAAGTAAGGCTTATAAGTATAAGTAATTATTCAATTAACGTATTCATATAAACGGTAATAGATTAGAATTGTTCATTAATATAGTTCCTTCGCTTCATACGGTTGCAATTCCTAGATTATTCATTTCAATAATTGGAATAAACTTGTTTTTTTTTTGTCAATTCTACAAAATGTTTTTCTATAATAAGTTTTAAATGTGCGTTAATATTATCCCGCGTTTTTTATCAAATAAACGTTTATATTATACTGGATAAGAACGTTGGTTTTATTTTCAATCTATGTATGCCAAATTAACTGCATACATTTGTTTTATACGAATTTATTGTATTCAATTTTATTTTCATTGTAGACTTGTAAAATTCAGTAATGTTTTCATCAAAATGCCAAAACAATCTGTTTTTTATTATTTCCAAAAATAGCACTTGTCAAATGTCATTCATTTTAACACGAAGTAGAAATAAAAATCGAAAAAATAACCCATTTATATAAAAATAACAAATTTAAAATTGTTGGGATAACTTGGGAATTGTGGGAACATATATGTAAGGGATCAAAATGTCAGGGTTTTAGATTTGTTATAAGAAAAAAGGAACATAACAATATTATTTACATACAAAGGAAATAAATTACTACAAAGATATTATGAACATGCATTTGACATTCCATTGCCATTCAAACTAAAGAAAAAATACAAAATCTTATTAACACAAAACCACTTTATAAAAATATACACATAGATATTTGACAGACTGACAGAGAGATATACAAAAGGTAATACAGAGAGAAAGAGAGAGAGATAGAAAAATAGAGCAAGCACAGTGCGTCTACAATTAACAACATCAATACGTTCCTTACATTACAATGCACTACACGTACGTTACGTCAAGTAATAATTTGATTGTTTTTGTTGGTTGCTGTTTATACAAACAAGTGTTGACAACTGTTTATGTTTAGCGGTTTTAAAACGCTTTTAATTAATCGTATTTTGTTTTTATGTGTTGTAGGTTGGTTGCTTTAGAAAAAAGAACTGCCTATGCTTTTGTTTTTTTTTAGTTAAGTGTGAACTGTGTGTAAGAGAATAAAGTGTTAAAATCATCTACAGATAAAATAGAACTTTCATTACTTCTGTCTTCTAAATTAGATTCTAACCATTTAGCTAACATTTATTATTATAAAAATATTTTAGAAATAGATATATATTAATGGAACAGCACAAAGAATACCACAATTGTCATTGCAATATTAACCGGATATGTAATTATTTATTTGCATTATTTCTTTTTCATTCATTCATTATTTCTTTTGTAATATGCGCAATTGTTATATGCTCTATGTAAACAGTTGAGTTGTATTTTTGTTTTGACGTTCGTTTTTTTCTTTTAATTTGCATTTAATTTAACGAATAGCCTTTGCTTTAAAAAACCTCTTGGACATTTTATCATTTCATATTGCACTTCTAGTGGCAAATCAAATTAGCATTTCATTTAAAAAAATAACATTTATTTTTACTGTTTAAGCCAAACTTGACACCATTAGTTAAATTTATGAGATTTTTTGTTAATATATAAATATAACCACTTAAATTTGTTTACAATTATTTGATTTTATATCTATGGAAAATGAAATGAGTCGTAAAAAAAATTAAATGTAATATAAAAAATATATATTTTGTTTCTATTTATCAAAAACTAAAATAAAATGACTTGGGTTGAACTCAAAAAATAGGGAAAATTAAAATTAGTATGAATATTAGAGAAAGTTAACATATTTTTATCCTGGAACTTACTTGTCTGGTAGTAATCTTCTTCTTCTATTTATTTGTATATTTTCAGTTTAAAGGGGGGTTTGTTTGTTTGGTTACGAACAAAATACGTGATAGTAGTAATTTACAACAACATCGGTTTTGGAGAAAAGTTTGTTTTTTTTTGTATATTTACATATGAAGATGAATTTGTTGTTGAAAAGATGTCGGGACAAGTTATAAATATTTTATTTTTTTACAAAAAATAGAGCACAATTTTAGAAAAAACAAAAACACATTATTTATTATGTTTAACTTTTGTTTATACTAAAACTTATGCATTAAGGCGTGGGGAAGTGTTTGAGTGTAGTATTATGTGTTTTCGACTATATGAGGAAAATTGTGTTCGGTAAAAAATCTACTTAAATTTAAATGAAAATGTGTTGTAACAAAGTGTTATAGAAATCTTCGTAAAAATTGAGAATGTATTTTTCATGTATGTAAACTAGCTTATCGATATATTTCCGAATCCGGTGTACATCGAATATAATTTGACTCAAACGGAAATTTCCTTAATAATGGTGTTGTATGTGGGAAAACGAGTGAATTAAGCCTACGGGCTTTAAATAAACAATGTTTCAACAGAATGGCGTTCTGTTTCGATGCGCCTGAACCATCATATTATAAGACTTCTTGCAGAAGATTTCGTAAACTCACAAAGCTAAGCGGGTCTAATCATATAATTGAAGCTGAAATCGACATTTCAAATATACCAAGCAAAACGATTTCATACGGATACATGACAATTTTGAGAATCAGTGGGATGGTGTCATTCAGATCAAATAAGATAAACAGTCATCAGGTAAGATAAACAAATTTTTTATTTACTAGGAATAATGTAAAGAGCATTTCTATATTTGTGGAAGGATAAGAGTATTACGTC